ACTGCCAAGCTTGCGAATACCTCAAGCCAGTCGATCTTGAGGGATCGAAATACAGCTTATTGGATCCTCCTGGCCGGCAGGTCAAGATCAGAAGTCCAACACCCTCGTTGATGAGGTCGTCTCGAGAAAAGATATCCAGCCCGAAGTCCATTGACTATAAAAGGGAATTCGTGATTGATCAGTTTCGGATCGAAATGGACAAGTTGAAGGCTGATATGGAGGTGCGCACGATCGCTCTAATGCTGAGTGCCGAACGGCAGTCTGAGTCTGCTGATACTTCCTCAGGTGAATAAGCAAAGACTGAGCCGTGAGATAGATCACATCAAGTCCACTCGGCTGCTGCCATGCACGTCCGCTCTGATACGAAGATCGTCTCCGCGGTGGTTGGGAGGGACGGCAGATGTGGGTGGAAAAGGCGATGAAGTGAAGCTTGAGGATGCCCTTCTGGAATCGTGGAGGGAGAGTGGAAGCGTCGTTGATTTTCGAACGGCAACGAGCCGTCAACTTGATGGTTCGCAGAGAGCAACCGGCTCTGTCAGCGGCTTCGTGACGTGGTGTGAAGACATGGGCTCTGAGGAGGGGGAAATAGAGGAGCTCAGAGAGCTTGAGATACACTCTCCAGCTGAGTACTTCAGTTCGAGTCCGAATCAGAAGACTGAGCGTCATATTGAACCTGGCATCTCATGAAACATAAAGCTCTCTGACGTTATTACTACTGCATCATGTATTCCTCGGACTTTAGTTCGATAATGGCTGTTCCGAGAGTGCGGGCAATTTGAACGTGCTTAGGAATGAGCATGGATCCTTCATTGCGTCTTTGGGAACTTGGAAGTGCGAATTCACTCAAACAGTCGCTCTGCGTTGAAGAGAACTATCCTACAGGGTTTGTGATGTTTCATTATTCTTGATGATCCTTCGACAGTCTGGCCGCCAGCTTTCATTTGCAGAGGCCTCCGCCGTCAATTCCGGTTACGATGCTCCCGCTGCTGTCATTCACGCTACAGGTAAGTGAGTCTCAGGTTGTCATTGCTAGTGCGCGCTTGCTTCACGATGCTTTCGAAATCCAGGAGCGTGCCGTGGGACTAAACCTCAGCTATTTGTGAACCCTTCAGATGATACTACCGGAACGTTCTCTACAGCGTCACACTTTGCGGCATTGCAGCGAGCATACGCAGATAATCACTCGGAATGGATTCATCAGCTCAACGAGCGAACGCCCTATCACCTGTGGAAGGGCCCCGGCATCGTATTTACCCCCACTGGGTTTCAGATGCGTCTACCTCGATTCCAGGATTGGTGAGCTATGCGGAGCCTTCCTTTGTCTGCTTACGTGCTGAAGTTCAATCAAGGTACTTCATGGATGGTGAGAGTGTATTCGAGGATGGCCGGGAAATGGAGGTGGAAATTTCCGGAACTGGCGATCCAACTTGGGCAGTGAATAGGAGTAATCCCGAGCTTCGCTCCGCTGTAGGTTTTCACCTATTTTCCAGGCTACAGGGAACGGTCTAGTCTGAATATGCTCGCCGCGACGAATGCTAACCCCCGCATGTTTTGGCTCTACATGAGTGCTGCTAAGGCCTTCAACATCGACGTTGAGTCCGAGATATCTTTACCGAATATGCGCTTGTTGCTGGGGCATTATAAAACGGCTTTGAGGTTAGTCTTTGGGACCCTCATTCTTCTCGATAATGGCGTGCAGCTCTCTGGTCGAGCACATACCATGGGTCCGTGATAACCTGTCTTATGTGGGGCGCTTTAGGTGAAGTGTTGTTGATTATGATTTCGCCAATAGCATCTTTTCGGCCACGGGAACTTATAGACCTGCATGTTGTTCCGAATGCTGGCGGCCATCAGATTCTCTTCAGGCTCCTCCAGCCAGAACTCGCCCATCAGGTGAGACGGGTGTATTTTCATCATCTCGATGCTGGAGCAGTGAGTCGGCATCGACCAGTGAACCTCACTTCGACACTCTTCAACACAGTTTATGATGTTCTAAAGTAAGTGTGGCTAGTCCAGACTGTATCGCGGGTGCGTGTGTTCGAGCATCGCTCTGTCATTTTCCTGGGCCTGGGAATTTCGACTCCATTGGTAGTGTCAACTCTGGCAAGATGCTACTCTGGAAGATTGTTCTTGTCGCATTCATGAGCACAACGAGACTTTCATGAGCGTTATTAGCGATATTGTGAAACGGATATCATATAGTTCTAGATGGACTGTTTTATCACTCCTCAGGGAGGGTGAAGGGGAGTTCCATGTGGTAACCGACAACGAGGAGTTCATGCAGAAGGTTGTCGCACTGCTGCATGAGAAGGGGTAAGATGACGTTGTAGTATCGGTGAGCGACCGAACTCTGTAGTTTTGTTCGTGTGCGGTACTCTCTGCGGGCGTCCCAAAAGTTCACCGTCCCTGCAGTTTGTTGGACGACCTGCTTTTGTATACATTGATTCGTCGTCATTCGTTAGCTCGGCTTGTCTTGGCGTCGATTGTCCCCGTCTTATCGACTTGTTTGGGGGAACCTTCTCGTCCATCTCAGCGATAAATTCCAGTCCGGATATGAATATCCATTTTATGGTACTACACGAAAGGATACACGGAGCTTGCCAGATAACGGTAATCCATATCGGGTCAGTGCATGCTCGGATTACGGAACACGATATCTCACCACTCCCATTCGGTGGTAATATTGCATATCGTCCACGCGAAGGGTTCGTCGGTCTGAGAGTCGGGCGCTGGTGTCACAGCTGGTGTGCGCGTCCTAGTATCTCGATTCGAGGCTCTCGGAATGGGAGAAGTTGTGGTTAATGATCGGTCTTCTCAGCACCCCAGTACCTGGTTAGGGGCGTGTATCCTGGCGGGTTGCCGGGATTGATGCCAGAGAATGAAAAGCGTGCTCGTACCGAGTCCAGGAGGTATCTACTGGATGCCGAGATTATCATAGATCGTG